AGGTCAAGCTTGCTGAAAATATTACACATTGTCTGTAGCAATTTAATATGAATTGTAATATCTCTTCACACTACATGAGTTAATAATGTGTGCATATTTGTTCCCACATACTAACTGTAGCTCTGCATCTCAAATTGTTTTACCTGGTTAAATGAAATCCTTGGCTGAGGAAAGTAAATTAAACATCTGTAAATCCCAGGAGCCATCACTGCAGCTACACTTCAAAGAAACACATTGTTATCCCTTCTTCATCCTCGAATCATTGAAACTACATGTATACAGTCCTTCAGAAGTTTTAATACTTACACTATAAGTTTGCAAAGGGTAATCTAATTCTAGGAAACCAAATTTCAGAAATATCTTTATACTTAAAGGGAGTTCTGGTGCAAAGTCTATAAGCAATTGTACTTCTAACCCAAAGCTTGCCTTTGTGGCAGTTCAAATCCATCAGTAGAAAGTTAATAACTCTTCTTCCATGCAGTTAACAGCCTCCAAAAACCCTCTGGATGGTCAGCTATAAGTCATTCCAAACGCAATAGTAACGAGTTTGAATTATTCTACTTAAGATAATTTTCTGACTTTAAGAAAAATTTCTCTCTCACTTTAGAATATAAGCATTTTTGAGGCATAATGAAATTCACATTAAAGTTAGTGAATATGAGAATAGTAGCTTAAAAATAAAATTTATTAGTACCCCTCATTATCAATATTTTTATTTGCATAATTGAGAAGGCTTGTTATTCCAATCTGTCTTATTTTACATATACCCCTTTCAGAAATTAGTCAACGTGATGCAGATCCAGTCCAGGGGAGTTACCAAATATTAACTACTCAAATATCACAGATTCACTGTATACACATGTTGTTGTTGTTGTTGTTGCTATGTGCCGTCGAGTCGTTTGTGATTCATAGCGACCCTATGTACAACAGCCCTAAACCGTGCTCTATCCTGTGCCAATCTCATTGCCCCTGACAAACCCATCCCGAGTATCCCAGTCACTGAATCAATCCACCTCATAGAGGGTCTTCCCCTCCTGCGCTGTCCCTCCACTCTACCCAGCATGATGTCCCTCTCCAAAGACCTGTCTCTCCTTACAACATGTCCAAAGTATGTCAGACGAAGCCCCAGAATCCTTGCCTCCAAGGAGCAGCCTTGGAGGTTTAATCCTTTCTACGATGAATCTGTTTGTTTTCTTGGCAGTCCATGGTACATTCAATACTCTTCTCCAGCACCACAGCTCAAAGGCGTCAATTCTCCTTCTATCCTCCCGAGTCATTGTCCAACTCTCTGATGCATAACAAGTGATTGCAAAAACCATGGTCTGTATCAGGCGCACCTTAGTCTCCTATGTGTATACATGTACAACCTGTATACACATAGGGAACATTTTTTAATCTTTCAGCTTTAGTTACCTAGGCAACTTTCTTATGAAGAGTCATTCAGTATACATAATCTTAAAAACACTTTTTATTTAAGAAACACTAGTATTTTTCTGCACTCCTTTAATACTCCTGCGATACCAAGGATCCTTGCCTAGCATAAAAGTGCATGTCATTGTTGAGAATTTCTTCTGATGAAATCTTTCCATCTGCATCTAAATTTATGCACAAAATATACCAATTTTCCTATTGTACAACACAAGATATTTCTTTTTGAAAGTTATGTTTGTTTAATGAAGAGCACTGGAGGCATCGTAAGAGGCTATACTCAATCCTGAAGGTAATTGGTTCAAATTCATCAGCTGCTCTGCAGGAGAAAGAAAGATAGGCAAGTTCCTTCCATCTGATTAAATTGCCTCTAGAAACCACATTAGTGTTAAGAATTTCTTCTGATAAATGTCTTCCCATCAGCATCTAAATTTGTGTACAAAATATACCACTTCTCATATTGTGCAGCAAAAGCTTGGCAGCATTATGATTGATAGTGAAGAGATTGTTAACTTTAGTTTGTTTGTCTCCATAATCAACACTCTTGGTATCAGCAGCCAGGAAATCAAAAGATGAATTACACTCGGAAAGTCTTATGTCAGGGACATCTCCAGAGTACTGTTGAGCAACAACATCAGTCTGGAGACAAGGTGTACCTGATCCAGGCCATAGTCTCAGCAATTGCCTGCTATGCATCAGAAAGCTGGACAATAACTTGGTATGATAGAAAGAGAATTGAAGCCTTTCAGCTGAGGTGCTGGAGAAGACTATTGAATATACCATGGACTGCCAGGAGAACAAACAGGTTCGACTTAGAGAGGGTGAAACCAGGCTGCTCCTTGGAAACAAGGATTTTGAGGCTTTGCCTGACATATTTTCAGCATGTTGCGAGGAGGGACCAGGCCTTGGAGAAGGACATCATGCTTGGAAGGGTGAAAGGACAGAGAAAGAGAGAAGACCATTGATGAGATGGATTGATTTAGTAACTGGGGTAATGAGAGTAGGTGTGTCAGGTACAGTAATGTTGACATAGGATAAAGCAGGGTTCAGGGCTATTATACACAAGGTCACTATGAATCACATGCTACTCACTGGCACATAACAACAAGAACAGCAACAGCAAAATATATTTATTTTTGAAAGTTATGTTTGTTTGCATAGAATTCTAGGCAAACATGAAATTCCTCTTGGAACAATGAAGATACAGGCTTTGGTGATATTGATAAAGTCTTTGGTTCAAAGATTAATTTTTTTTAGATATATGGGGTTTTCTCTAGCTGCTTTTTAAGATCCCTCCCTGCTCTGGCATCTTCCATGGCATGTACAGTGGCATAGTCTGAAAGGAGTCGTACGGCTAAACTAGAGGCATTATCTATTCTGTGGGGTCAAATCCATCAACCCTTCCTTGGGAGACAGGTGCACAATCTCTTCCCATGTGATTTTTCAGCTTTGGAATCCCAATGGAGGGTCAGCTTCAAGTCAATTGTGACTTGATAGTAGTAAGAATGGAAAATGATAAGTATGTCAATCTGTCAGGTCTTTTATTTCTCTTCCTTGCGATTCACCTTCTTGGATCCAAGGACTAGTAAGTATCTTTTAACACTTCTGAGAAATTCCAAGCTAATATTTCTTCAAATAAAACTTTTTCTCCATTCTCTAGTTTCTTCTTTTATTGAAAATACATATATAAAAGAAACAATGTAAAACCTTGGAGGAACTAATTATGTTCTCTCCAGTTCTTTTAATTTTGTTTCTTTAACCCACTATGGTTTTTCATTTAAATTATTGTCTTTTATATTTTAGAATTCTATTGGATTAGTTCTCAAACTTAGATAATCACACTCTAGAGTCTCTTGTTCCGTGCTTATACATACAGTCGTCTGTTTTGTGGTTTTAAACACATTAACTGTAGCTCTTTTATGTTTTGAGCCTGATGACTTCAGTATCTATATTTTCATTGGTTTGCTTACAAAGTTCATATACATTGTGTTTCACACTATTCTTCATTCACAATGTGTTGCACACAATCATTCTCATGCATTATGTTTTATAAAATTAATCACCATTGGACTTTGCCCCTCATTTTGCCCCTCATTGCCTGTCTTTTCGCCTGGATCCTTCCCATTTCCTTCCCCCACTCTCTCCACCCACCAACTCTGCATCCTGTGCTTTCAATCCTGCCCATCCTCAGCCCTTCCTTCCCCCCTTGAGTGGTTTAAGTATCTTTGAGAATTACTCTGATACCTATTGCTCCCATCTATCCTCGTTCATTCTAGTTTCTTTGTGTGATTAGTGATTTTATTTTTTTGTTTTGAAATGCTTATTTTCCTGTAAGTATTACTTGAGACATGGATTGACTGTGTACTCCCCCAAAGAAGATTCAATTTCTTTCTGCCAGCTATCTGGGACATCACCCAACCAGAACCAGTTTATACTTAATATTCTGTTTGAGATCTTTCAAACCATACTGGTGGTGTAAATGTGGACCCAAAGCATGCATGAAGAGCTTGCTTGTGTTTATAAGTACTGACAGTATATTTTCCCCAATGCAGTAAAATCTTAGAGCTATTTTCTTCACTTTTGTAACGGATGCTATAAAGGGTCTTAGCTTTCTCTTAAGCTATGAAAAAAAAAACCAAACAAACCAACCTTCAAGGTCTCTACAGTTTAGAAGAAACCCTCAGGGTCAAAATCTGCTCTGATGTTGACTCACCTCCCAAGTTTCCAGCTTCTCTACTTTCCTAACAAGTCATGATATGACTTCTTAGCAATCCAGCAACACATTTCAGAAGACATCCAAACTTATTTGCCTGAGATTTTAGTTATTTCGAACTATAGGTGGAAATCTTTAGATCATTATTTTGAGATCTAAATGAGTGGTTTTGACTTTGGTTAGATGTTTATCATAGTATATGTTGGTAACATTTATATGTATTCGTAATTTAATTTCTAGTTGCATCTGGTAAGACTCTGATGACTGCAATTAGCTTTAATTTTTAAATTAGTTGACATGAATATTTTGCATGCTTTTTGTCATTTGTTTTCTTCAAAAGAAAAAAAGTTACTTGGTAAGCTGTTATAGATTTAAATAAACATTACCAGCTTTTGCCTTCCTGTAAGATTTATATAACATTATAGAAAAATGCAGGGCCTTTCAGAATGTGTCAAAATTATCTTGGGCCCAGTTGGTATAAAGGGATTACCTATATTGAAAAGAAACGTTTGAATTATGATACAAAGAAAAAAAGGGATAGTAAATTATATCCTTGGAGAAAATCATTCATTCCAGAGAGAACTGACTCTTCACAACATTTTAAGAAGATTAAAATATACTAGAGTATATTGTATCAATATACAATTTTAAAAACCTTTAAAATTACTAATTTCTTTGTCTAATAAAAGGGTTTTTTTAAATAACGCAAGTGATCACCACTCTAGAAACATCTGTTTTCACAGGACACATTCTCTTAAAATACCTGCATGCACAACGGCAGTCATTAAAGCCTCAGTGAGCCCAGCCTTGGAGAGCCCAGCCCTGTGCCCTGATTTCTTGTGGCCTCTCTTTTTTCCAGTACGTGCGTGTGTCTTTTGATACGAAGCCTGATCTCCTCCTACACCTGATGACCAAGGAATGGCAACTGGAGCTTCCCAAGCTGCTCATCTCTGTCCACGGGGGCCTGCAGAACTTCGAACTCCAGCCAAAACTCAAGCAAGTCTTTGGGAAAGGTCTCATCAAAGCTGCTATGACCACTGGAGCATGGATATTCACTGGAGGGGTTAACACAGGTAAATTGGAAGTAGTGTTGAGAAAGGCAGCACGTTGTGGTTAGGTGCCATGGAGCTGGCTACAACTCAGAGGGACCCTGTGAGCAATAGCTCTGAACCTTGCTCCAACCTGCACTGTCCTTATGATCTCTGCTATGTTCAAACCCGTGGTGATAATCGTTATACATCTATCTTGATGGGGGCCTTTCTCTCTTTTCTTACCCTCTACATTTCCTGGCATGAAAGGCAGCATAAATCACAAGAAAGCTGTGACTAAGATTGTTTTCTCCTATGGATAAAGGTCTTTAGAATCCTTTCCTCATCCCCTACATATGAGTTTATACTCACTGATTCTCTCTCCTTCCTTTACCTAAATGATAGGTATACAATTGATTCCTAATAGAGAAAAATGACTTAAACCTGCATATCAAGTAAGGATGCTTAACAGTTACCTATACCGAATGTGTGAACATTTGACCAGTGGACTTTTATGAGCTGTTTTCAATAGCCCAAGATGCCATGTTTGCATTCAGTAGGGTTTTTCTGTTTGTTTTGTTGGATTTCTTTCAGTCATTCATACACATTTTATTACATTGGCTAAATTGATCCATGCCATTTATTACAGCACATCAAATCCTCACTATAATTTGCCTTTTCCCTCAACCTGATCTCTTCTCCATCATCCCTACAATCTCATCCCTCTCAGTTCTCCATGATTCTTTCTATTTATTCTTTCAGTGTGTTTCTTATGCAGCACCTATGCTTTAAGTGAAGTTTCTGCCTTTGCTTTTTAAGCAGTTTTGCATTTGGTGACAACCTATTTTAGCTTTTTTTTAAAAAAAAAAAAGAAAATCATTTCTATAATTATGATAGTAAAATACAAGGAATTATGTGTCCTGTATTTAAAGGATTTCTCTCATTCTTGCACCAATACAAAACGTGCACTACTATGAATTTTAGTCTTATTTTTTACATGCCCATGACACAGCAACGCTGTCAAATCAATTTTTACAAACCCACTCAGAGTTAAGTACTCATCTGCCGAGCATTAATAATGTGCAACAGATAATATAATGGATGACTGTAAATTTTTTTTTACGTATTTCCTGAGCCTGAGTCAAAACTCTCCATTGGAAGCACAAAAATATTGGCACCATCAGTCAATCCTAGTCTGCTGCAGAGCTCAGTCCATTTGAATGTAGTCTGGACCAACTAGAAATTTTTATAATTCAGTTACAATTTCAATGAACAATATCTTTTTTAAAAAATTTTGGATGATATTTAAGTGAGATGGAAACTAAGAATGCTCCTAAATACTTAGAATTTGGAACAGTCAGCACACAGTGACATAAACATTTTAGCAGTGAATTCTGCAGGCTGCATAAGCCCACTGTTGTTAAGTGAAATCCTAATTTGTTCCATAAGTGACATGATCTTAGAAGAACTTACTCAATCATCTCTTTACTGTTTATTTTGCAGTAATCTGATACCTACAGAGTCGTTTTAATTATAGGTCAGGTTTGAGGATCAAAATTGCACTCAGCTAGAATTATTTGCCTGTGAGTGCCCAGTGTACTGCTTTCCTGTATGTATAAGGTGTGCATTGTGTATAGACCAATGCAAATGGTGTGAGAGGCTCAAAAGAAACTCATGTTGATACTGTCGTTCTGGAAAGAGCATGTCTCTGCCTCACTCTAGGATTACTGTTCAGTTCAAAGCACCAAGTGAAGTATTAAATGTTGGGAGGCATGGGACACGTAAGAGACAATGGGGCAAAGAATTAAGAAAAATGGAAGAATCATTCTTGAAGTTAAATTTATTTTCCAAGGTTAACCCTAAAAAGAACTTTACAAAATAATAGCAAAAGAAGTTAAGTTGTTCATAAATTTGATTTTGGTATTTATTTACCAACATTTTCATTTGGAAAATCCATAACAAAACCAGAAATTGAAATGAATATTCTTTTAAGTCTCCAAGGATAGGTCAATGTGGGCCAACTGCCTTATTTTTTTATTTGATTTTTAAAGGAGAATCTTTCCCTTTTACCTTATGGATATTTTAGAATTGAACAATTTACTACGAGTCCTCCCTCATGATTCAGTTGCTAGGTGTGTGGCTAGTTGAGAACAAAGTTTCTGAGCCTTTACTCTGTGCCTGCTCCAGAGGTCACAGAGATGACCTTTTAACTTCCCCAACAAGGGCTTTTCCTGTCACATTGTTATAAATCATGACAGAAGTTAGGAGGTGACATACTGACATTTCCAATACATATGTAATTCTACTCAAATAAAAAGTAAATCAAATCAGCTTTTATATGGGAGATGAAACTGGATGTGATTTTTCTTGATAAATCCCATTTTAATAAGAGGATATATTTTATAGCTATTTTGTAAGAAATACTCATTTAAAACAGAGATTAAAAGACTAGAAAATTTTCTCTTTCTAAAGTTGTTTTCCGTGGAAAATAAGAAGTGAGTTTCCTACTTTCTTACAAATGGAATTTTCTGACTTAACAAAATGACAGGGAAATCTATGATAACAAAGGAGGAAGACAATTTGGATGATGAAAATTAAAAGTCTGCATTTATATTATCTTAATATTAATTTTCCATAGAGTATGTAAATATATTCTTTACAAATAATCTTTCCACACTGTGTATTAATAAATAGAAAGATGGAGTTAAGGTTAACAAAACTGAGTAAAATAACTAGTCAAATGATCTTAGCTCATACACAAACTATCGGCTGCTAGCCAAAGGGTGCAGAGTTTAAACCCAAGCCACTCCTCAAGAGAAAGATGAGCTAGTCTGCTCCTTCTAAGCTTTACAGCCTCAGAGAGTCAATAGAGGGTCACCATGAATTGGAATTGACTCAACAACAGTGAATCCATCCTGTTTTAATTTCTTAAAAAATGACGTTATATACAGAATACGGTGAAGGTCTTAGTTTTTGATCATACTAACATATCATTGTGTTTTATAATACAAGAAAAGTTTCTTTTAAGTTTAAATAATTGCACTTATTCTTTTCATATAAACTTGATGTTTAGGAATATGATTTAGAATTAGAAATATATTGCTTATATACTGCTAGATTCTAGATCAGGCGGCTACATCTAGGATAACTGCATTAAGTTTATCTTCTCTTCTAAATATAAGTTCTCTATGTGCAAATGGAGAACATATATAAACAACATATGAGCAAGAGCCTATGGTGATGAAAGAAGAAGTTCAGGCTGCTTTGAAGGAAATGGCAAAAAAATAAAGCTCCAGGACTAGATGGTATACCAATTGACATACTTCAGTTAACAGATGCTGCCATGGACGTGCTCACCAAATTGTGCCAAGAAATCTGGAGAACGACCACTTGGCCAACTGACTGGAAGAGATCGATATTTGTTCCTATCCCAAAGAAAGGCGACCCAACAGAATGTGGAAACTACAGAACAATATCATTGATTTCACATGCAAGCAAGATTTTACTGAAGATTATCCAAAAACGACTGGAACAGTACATCAACAGAGAACTACCAGAAGTCCAGGCTGGGTTTAGAAGGGGTCGTGGTACTAGAGATATTGTAGCTGATGTTAGATGGATCATGGCTGAAAGCAGGGAATACCAGAGGAATGTCTGTCTGTGTTTCATTGACTATGCAAAGGCATTTGACTGTGTAGATCATAACAAATTATGGCTGACTCTGAGAAGAATGGGAATCCCAGAACACTTGATCATTCTAATGCGAAACTTATACTTGGACCAGGAGGCAGTCATCAGAACAGAGCAAGGGAACACTGCATGGTTCAAAATTGGGAAGGGCGTATGCCAGGGATGCATCCTATCTCCATACCTTTTCAACCTATATGCAGAACAGATTATCCGGGAGCCTGGGCTCTATGAGGAGAAATGTGGGGTCAAGATTGGTGGACAATTTATCAACAATCTGCGTTATGCGGATGACACAACCCTGCTTGCTGAAACTGAAGAGGACCTGAAGCACCTGCTGCAGAGTGTCAAGGACTGCAGCCTACAATATGGATTGAGGCTCAATGTCAAGAAGACAAAGATTCTCACCACTGAACCAATTGGCAACATCAGGATGGACGGTGAAGAGATAGAGATTGTACACAGCTTTAGTTTGCTTGGCTCCATAGTCAACAGTCTTGGCACCAGCAGCCAGGAAATTAAAAGGCACATTGCCATGGGAAAGTCTGCTGTTAGGGACCTCTCCAAAGTGCTGAAGAGCAATGGTGTCTCTCTGGAGACTAAGGTGCGTCTTATACAGGCCATGGTCTTCGCAATCACCTGTTATGCATCAGAGAGTTGGACAATGACCAAGGAGGATAGAAGGAGAATTGATGCCTTTGAGCTGTGGTGCTGGAGAAGAGTATTGAGAATATCATGGACTGCTAGGAAAACAGATTTGTCCTGGAAAGGGTTAAACCGGGTGGCTCCTTGGAGGCAAGGATTCTGAGGCTCCGTCTAACATACTTTGGACATGTTGTGAGGAGAGACCGGTCCTTGGAAAGGAACATCATGCTTGGGAGGGTGGAGGGACAGCGTAGGAGAGGAAGACCCTCTGTGAGGTGGATTGATTCAGTGACTGGGTTAATTGGGATGGGAGCGTCAGAGACAGTGCGATTGGCACAGGACAGAGCGGAGTTTAGGGCTGTTGTACATAGGATCGCTATAAGTCACAAGCGACTTGACGGCACATAACAACAAACAACATATGTAAATATCTCAGTTTTTTACATTAAATGCATTTAACCCTCAGAGCAGTTACAGTAATTTTGCTAAACTCGATTTCTCATTGCTTTTGAATAGGAAGCTACTCATAGCTCACGCTCCATTGGTCCACGAGGCTGTCAGTCACGTGGGAGGCCAGGACCCAGCTTTCTCCCACAGAGGAGCTGAGTGGAATACAGGGTAGCGCCAGAGAGGAATGGCCTTTGGCTTAACAGTGTAACTCGCTATGCCACGAGAGCTCCCTAACTTCTTTAAAAAAGAAGATTAAGACTTCTGGTTTTTTTGTTGTTGTTTTTTTCCTTTTAGGTGTCATTCGTCATGTTGGAGATGCCTTGAAGGACCATGCATCAAAGTCTCGGGGGAAGATATGCACCATTGGCATCGCCCCCTGGGGAATTGTGGAGAACCAGGAGGATCTGATTGGGAGAGATGTAAGTCTGTCACAGGATGTCCTTCTAGGGGACTTTTCTAACAGATGAGATATCTAAAGAGTCAAACACAATTCATACTCAAAATATGTATATTCCAAAGCCCGATGTAATAATTAAAACAATCACAATTCAAACCCATCCAGAAGTGCTTTGGAAGCAGAAAGGCCTCGTAATCTATTTCCAAAAATCAGCTATTGATAATTCTATGGAGTATTCTGCTCTGACACACAGGGATCACCAGGAGTCAAAAGTAGTTGGATAACACCCGTTTGACTGATTTTAGTTGCTGCCTTCCAAAGTGAAACTCAGATAAGGAGTATTTTAGTGACAGACAATCGGTTTTTTCAAATCTATTACCAATTTCATGTAGATTCTTAAGATTCTTCCCACTTTTCTATCCATTGTATCTTCCTTATTCACAGAGCTCTGGTGGCCTAGTGGTAAGGAGCTGTGCTCCCAACTCAAAGGCAGGCAATTTGAATCCACTAGCTGCTCCATTGGAGTGTGGACAATCTCCTCCTTGTGATTTATTGTCTCTGAAAACCTGCTGGAGGGTCAGCTATGGGTTGCTTCCAACTAAATGGTACAAAATAGCAATAACAGTTCATGGAATACCCAGTTGTAAGTGCTGACAGAATTTAGAAAATGTTGACTTCCCAATCAAGAATGATAGTGACCCTAGCATAGAGAATAGAAAAATAAGGCAGTAAAATATGCACAAATGTAGAAGGCTTAAAAAAAATAAAATAAAGATTCAAAAGAATCAAGAGAAGAAGCAGACACTACGTAGGGAAAAAAATGAAATTACTAGGAAACACAATTTGGATGTGGGTTGTTTTTGTTGTTGTTGTTTGTTTTTAATTTTTCATCTAATCATTGAGCAAATCTACTAAATTTACATCATCCTGGTATCTTCTTCATCAAATTCCAGACACTTGAATAGCAGTAAATTTTTTTCCCTCTTTGTGTGATAATGGAGTTTTTCAAGTTATAAGTTATTTGGAACATAGTTGCTGTTTACTGTTCCAATGTGATAGATTGAAAAATTATCTGATGGTAGGTTTCCATTTTTTAAAAAAGTCTTTTACTCAAGTGCTGACAGTTCTTGTGGAAAATCTTCAAAAACTTTACAAAGAAGTAATATTTTCCTATAAACTTCTTAACTAAATATTTTTAGTAAGTTTAATTCAGAATATTCTACTTTTCCCCTTCCGTTTTATATACAAAAATGAACATGTATTAATATAAACTTTAAGCCTATTAGCATCATATGATCATATTGTTGTTGTATCATAATCATGTATGAGGGGGAAAAAATAAAAATGTATTATTTGGGAACCTTACTGGCATAGTCAACAGGGAGTTGTGTTGTTAACCAAAGGAGAACCTCTCTCCGTGGTCAAATCCACCAGTGTATCCAAGGAAGAAAAATGGACAGCTTCCTCTTCTGTGATTTACAGCCTCTGAAGACTCACTGGAGGGTCAGTTATTAATTGGTTTTCAATCCATGGCAACAAGCGAGTTAAGAATGTATTACTAAAAATTTTTACCCCTTTAAAATCCTATCAGAATGTAATAATTTTGGGGTAAAAATATAATTCCTTATCAAGTTTATGTGTTTATCACAGAAAAATGTCGAGGTTATGGAAATAAATGTCAAAGGGAATTTAGGAAATTTACTAGCGATAAATATAAATCTAATCATAATATAAAAACACATTTCTTATGCTTGGCATACTAAAGTATTTTTTTTTAAATAGAGATCACTTTTTATCTGTGGTGCTGGTTTTCAGACAGGTTTTGTTAGAGGCTGAATAAGTGTTATTAAAATTGTTTGGTTTGTTTTAGTAGAAGCAGTAGCTGTCATTTATCTTGGAACTTGAATGCCTCGTGTAAAGGAGAATTGGTGGTGGTGGTTACTGTGGCATGTGCTCTGGTTCACGGTGACGTTATGTCCAACACAATGCTGCACCAGCCTGACTGTGTGTCTTCATTTTTATTGGCATGCTCACGTCCATTGTTGTAGTCACAGTGTATTTTTATTACTATATGTCAGAGTGAATACAACTCATAGCTACCCTGTCAAAAACAGATGTGAACCCTGTCCTATCCTGTGCCAACCTCACAATCTCTGACACACTCGAGCCCTTTGGTACAGTCATGGAGTCAGTCTACTTTGTTGAGGGTCTTACTCTCTTTCACTGACCCTCCACCTTTCCAAGCCTGATGTCTTTCTGCAAGGAATGCCTCTGGTGACCGATTGGTAAGATGCTGTTCTGTAATCCCGAGGCAGTTTGAACCCACCAGCTGCTCTGTGGGAGAAGTATTGACAATTGTCTTCATTGTCTCCAAATGTCTAAATGTGCCATTAACTGCCTTGCAGGGTCAGCTATGGTTGGTTCCAACTTGATGCCACATAACAACAGCAACATGCCCAAAGTAGGTGTGACGAAGCTTCCGCTTTCTTGCTTCCAAGGAGCAATCTGGCTTCACCTTCTCCAAGACATATCTACTTCTTTTCACAATCAATGAGATATTCAGCACTCTCCTCCAACACCACAACTAAAAAGTATCAATTTATCTTCTGTCATCCTTATTTACTGTCCAGATCTCGGATGCATAGCTAGTAGTCAGAAAGACTATGGCCTGAATCAGACGCACCTTAGTCCTCAAACTGACATCTCCTCAGTAATTTAGCAAGGTCTCTAACTGCAGATTTTCCCAGTGAAAGTTGTCTCCGTGTTTCCTGACTGCTTGAACCAAGGGTGTTAATTGTGGACCCAAACAAGATGAAGCTGTTGACAGTTTCAATCTCCTTTCCATCCATTATGACCACTGCCAGTAGTAAGAATCTTTGCTTTCTTGATATTGAGACACAATCTATACTGAAGGCTGCATGAATCCATATTGAAGGTTGCGCCTTAGATGAATACTTTTAAGACCCTCTTCACTACACACAAAGAAGCCCATAGATTATTATCTTTGTAGACCAGTTGAGCTTTCACAGACCTATGACCAAGGGTCAAGATCTTAAGGCCCCAGGACTACCAAATCCCTCCTTTAGAGTGTTTGGATAGGATTAATAAATTCCCCTAACTTTGGCCCCTGTTTTCTTTGCTATATGCATAAATATATTTGCAACATATACTAACATGATTTTGAATTAGAGAAGCTAAGAATAAAAAATCTTGGAAGTGCAGCCAGAAGGCACTTTAGATATGAAGATGATGGGACTTCATCCTACCTTATTTAGGTATAATAAATAAGAAGCTAATCCCTGAAGAAGGATGTCATGATTGGTAAACAGAGGGTCTTTGAAAAAGAGGAATCCCCTCAAATAGACACAATGGCTGCAGCAATGGGCTTCTTTGTAACAGATTGTAATAATGGTGTAGGATCAGTCATTGTTTTATTCTGTTTTATACAGTGTTACTGCAACTCAAACGTGACTGAATGGCATGTAACAATAGTTCACAACAACATCAATAATCTCATTTTTGAACTATTCTTTTAGCTAAGCATCTGAATGCAAAACTATTTCTTTATGTATCAATTCAAGGTGGGAGATGATAAGGGGGTGTGTGGAGAGGGGAGAAATGACAGCATGATAAACCTTTTTTTTCTTCTTTTAAAAGATACATTATCTTTCCAGCTGAGTGGTAAGACTAGGTTTGCTGTTTTAAATTTAAATATCATCAACTCTATTTAATCAAATTCTTCTTGATTGATAGCTCAAATCAACAAGATTTTGGTGAAGGATTATTAGGCTGTGAATACTGAGAATACTGAAATGGTAGTAACTTTTTGTCCTGTCACTTAACATGAAAACATACAATGCTTCAGTTGAGGCTAACCACACTCTATTACTTACCCATATAATTCCTTCTTCCTTCCCACTATTATAACCCATGACCTTATGCTTTCATCAAACTTTAAGACTCGCACACAAGACATCTCCCTGACTAAAACAAAAGATAAACCCACTGCCCTTGAGGTGATTCAGAGGACTTGTGGCTCCTGCTGGGTTTCTGATGTTGTAAATCTTCACCTGAGAAGACTGTCTTTCTCTCTCCTATGGAGTGGCTGGGAAATCTGAACCACCAGCTATTCAGTTAACAGCCTGACAGGTTATGCACTACACCACCAAGGTTTCTTTTTCCTGACTAATTCTCTTCGTAACGCCACATCCCTGACTGTAGTTCTCCTACAACTTTCTTCTTCTCTAGCTTTACTAATAACTGCTCCAAAACAGAGATAGATAGGTTTTGAATGCTTGTCGAGCTGACTCCTAATGTAGTTTCTTTTGCACAAACATGAAGGAATGACAAGAACCTTAAACGCTGAAAGACTCTGTCTCTTCATCTGTGCTTGGACTGTTCTCTAAGTGACCTGTTTACCTTCATATGACTGCAACAAGTATAATCCTAATCAAACCCAAACCCAGACTCATTGCCACGAGTCGTACCAACCCTGTCGGACAGCGGAGAGCTATCCTGGAGGGTTCCCAAGGCCATATACCTTTACAGAGACACACTGCATCAGCTTTCTCCCACAGGTGACATTTTAGTTAACAGCTCAACACTTAACCTGCTGTACTACCAGGACTCTTCTAATCAGAATATTGTTGTTGTTAGGCGTCATCAAGTGAACTCCAACTCATAGCAACTGTATGAGCCCTATGGATCTTGTCCTATTGTGCACCATCCTCACCATGTCTGATAAGCCCAAGCCCATTGCTACAGTCACTGCGTCAACCCCTCTGGAGAATCTTCCTTTCCTCCTCCGACCCTCCATCTTTACAAGTATGATGCCTTTTTCCACGTACTGACCCCTCCCGACAACATACTCAAAATTCGTGAGACCAATTTCCACCATCACTTTTTGAATCCTCATTTTGAGGTATGTATTTTAGCCATTTTATAGATAAGCAAACTAGGACCCAGGATTAAAACTCAGATTCAACTTTCTCAAATGCTCATATTATTAACTACTAAAATAAC